TCGCTGCCTTGCTAATTAAATTGAGAGTGCCTCGTTGATCCTATCGTGGTAATAATGTCGCGGAAAACACTGCCACCCTAGGCTGCTGCGCCATTAACGTTCTTTTCTTTTTTAACCAGGAAGCAAAAGCAGGGATGATTTTTTTTCCCCCCTTCTTTTTATTTCGTCGCGATTTTGCTTTATTTCTCTATCGATTTCACGCTGAAAGTTTATTATACAGGGTGATTATGAAATTTTAATTAACCTTTAAAAATATATAAATTAAAAAATTGATCGCGAATGCAATAAAGTGATGGTACCTTTAAGTTCCATTAAGGATCCATTGAAATCCCTGCGACGGCCTCCCACCATTTCCCGGCAATGCGGAAGCCGTAACCTCAGTCTCAAGGTCATCGGTGCACCTCAAGGTCAGGGTCTTTTTGCTCGTGCGCCAGTCCATCTCGATTCTTGCCAATTTCACCCTTTTCCTCTTTTTTTTCCCCCACCCCCTTCGTTCGGCAGCCATTGAAGATATCACAACGATGTTTTTATAATCGGAAAAATTCTACGCTTATCAATCTCGAATATTTTTTTATATCGGCGAATTAGAAATACATTGTTCGGAGGACAATAGCAGTCATAGTCAGCCTGTCCGTCCAGCAATTTATTGACCCGTTTGAAATTTATGTCCCTCCAGACGAGAGGGGATGTAGCGTTCGTCCACATGGCATGGACGATAATATTACTCCCCTCTGTTCCCACGGTATCGTGCGGGGTTGATTGTCCCTTTTTATTGGATATAATGCAAACGGTGATAAACTCTATGCGAGATCCTTCGGTAAACTTTATTTTACAATATTTGCATCGTTCCGAAAATTCTCTCCATAGTTTTTTTACGACACCTTTATTTTTGTAAGAAGAGTTAAAGAGTTGAGATCTAAATGAAATTCAATCAGGATACTCTCAAGCGTATATTTCGCGATGTAGCTGTTAAACCCTTGCCATTTTCTCAACATTTGCATCTGCCAAAGCTAACTACTCACTGCTATAATATTTAGGCAAATCAAGGAAATTGAAATATTATTCATTTGTGCAAATTCTAATTGAAATTATACTTCAATTATAATACAGATACGGTTCAGTTTTGTCATATTAGAACTATAGGTGCATCATGGGTCAGACTCGTCAAAGTACGGCAAAGGGTTAAGGGGTATGGTAACTCTAGGATTTTGAAAAAATCGAAAATTTTTTTTTGCTTAAAAGGTGCCTTAATGTCTTAAAAATGATATGGCAAAAGATTATGGGTGGGAAAAATCTCTGAGTACTCGAATTTCGAATTCTGGCGCAGCCCCTCCCGGTCTGCTGCAAGCATTACTGAAAACTTCAAACGCGTTTTTCTCGAAACCGTATTTTTTAAACTGGCCAGACTCATAAATCAAACAGATGATCACCAATCGATTTGAAAATTTAACAATATATTCAAAACTAAATTCTCTACAGAACTACGAAGGATTTTTTCATTGTATTACATAGTTCTTTTGTTATAAATAATTTTCTGGCGATTTTCTTGAAATTTTACATTTTCTCTTAAAACATAGGTCATTTTTGCAAAAATCAATATATTAAAAAAATCCTACGTAGCTCTGTAGCTGTTCTCATATATAATCAAAAATATTTTGGTTCTTTATGTTAAGTTAAAAATTGCAGGAACTGCTGGCAAAAAGGAGCCCATATTTTGACTTGAATCACTATACAAAAATTTATTTTTAAAGTTTATTAGTTGTAAAATGAAGGCATGCTTACAGAACTTGGATTTATTCCAAATTCCCAAAATATGCCTATTTTTTCTTGTTCTATAGTGGCCTAATCCCTTAAGGCAGATCAAGGAGGACTGACTGCCTTTCCTTGTTCAGAAAAGTCCTCTTGTTCCGAAAAATCCGGAATCCTTGCGTGCCACTTGGATGTCCGTTCTGTAAAATTGGCCAACATCTGTTTGACCGTGCAATCAGGCATTGGGTAGTTTAGCCTTCGGTCGTCGTTACCGGATTTTCTAACATTTCATCGAATTGAAACTGTTATAAAAATATGTATTTCAAATGAACGATTCTCTCTCTCTCTTTCTCTTCGATCAACTATCATCAACTCACGATAAAACGAAACATCGGTCGAATCGAAGCAGATTTGACGGTTCGCCGAGCGTACAGCCGTCTCCATTATTGATGAATTTGTTTAAGCTTGCAACGCCACGTCCCGTGGTTAAAAATGCACTCGATGGGTTGACCTCGGTCCCGCCACATTTTGTTATCGAATCAATCATTCATCGATCAATCGGTCCAATCGAAAACAATATACGCCTTCGTTTATTCAAATATCCACGCGTTCGAAATTGTCGCGTTCAGCCTTGGTAACAACGACGCGTTGTAATTCCACAGTGGAATAGATAAGGCGTCGTGACGTCGCGACGTTCCATGACGAGTAAGTCATCTCATAGCTACCGTGCGGATCGTTTAATTAAACGCCGATTAAAATTGAAACGTTACCGTGATAACGTTCACCGTTGCAACCCCTTTCGTGGACAACGAACAGGGTTGAATTTCTACTCGTTCCATTGTTAATATATCGATCCGATTGCGTTAATAGAATCGAATCATTAATTACGTATTTTGCTGAATTATAGCACGATTAGATAATACAGGATAGGATAAGATTCACCGGATCAGTTTATTAATATTTCTTTTTGAAACGAAAGATAACAGCGCGGCTGGGAGCGTTTAATTAAACGTTAATCAATTAAAGCGTCGGTATATAAACTGTATAATTGTTCTACCCTTTACCGTTGCCGTTGTAAATGATGGCTGTTCTCGTTTTATCGTAGCGTCATCGACTTTGTCCTACGCGATAGAAATAGGCGTGCATCGTCCGCGCGATGTTTAATTAAAACGTTAATTGAATCGAGGGTGTATCTGTTAAGATTAGTTTGCCTAATGGTGGCGAGTGGGCGGTTGAAATGTTACAGGATTGGATGATTGTTGGGTATTTTTTCAAAGCGATTCTTTGTTTTTCTTCGAGGTGGTAGTTTGGAAATTTGAGGGTGCGTTATCGGCGAGGGCCCGGGTGTACAACCGCGGTCAGAGATTAATCCTGATTTCATCGAAGAGAGTCACGAACGAACAAAGGTACGACGACCTTCGAAAAGGGTCAACGCACTCGGCCTGCCAAGCATAACGGAAGTGAGGCCACGGATTTCGAGTAGAACGACCCTGAAAGCAACACATGCGACGCGGACTTGCCTCGACTAATTTGCCTTTCGACGATACTGCTCGTCTTTTTTAAACCAGCTTCTGCTTCCTCTCCGTTTAAGATTAACCATCTGCTCTCTCGTGGCTGTTCTTTTTTTAACACGTGTCTCTACGATCTCCATATAATTAAAAAATGCAATTATTTATATATAAATAATTTACTGAGTGTACTTTCGAAAAGAACATACCTCCGATTTTTCTAATACTCTGGATTCTTACGTATTTCGACGTGCTGATTACGAATATGATAGTGAGAATTGGCGAAAATTTTATTTTCATGGCGGAAACCATGAAAAAACCATGAAAATCATAGTTTTTTCCATTTATTTCCGTAAATAATGGTAATTTTGAAAAATACTTCAGATAAAAGTTATAGATCTCATCAAAATACACATTTTATGGCGTATTGATTTTTGTTATAAAGATAATAGTTTCTGAGAAAAATGATAGGTAATTATTCACTTACCCTCGATTTCAATGTCCTTTACATATGTTATCAGGGACCTTGAGTACTTTATTTTGTTTTTCTTATTGCAAACTATTGTTTAGTTTTCATGATATTGTTCTATCCGCTTTGTTTTCATTTTTTAGAACAAATAGGTTTATTTTTTAGTTTATATGAGGTTGTTTCGTTTCTTCTATAACGAACAGTCGTTTAACTTACTGTTTAAGTTTAAGTTTAGGTTTAAGTTAGGTAAGGGTAGGTTATTCCTTTTGGGGATGAAGCTTCCCGCAGAGGATGGATCCCGCTACGCGTGGAAAGTTAGAAATCCAATGATACAATAAAACTTTATTTATGTTGGATGAATTATATGAAGTTTTGAACATTTAATATCGGTTTTCTCAAAAGCTATTGTCTTTATGACAAAAATTAATACGACATAAAATGTGTATTTCAATGAGACCTACAACTTTTATTTAAAGTATTTTTCAAAATTACCATTATTTACAGAAATAAATGGAAAAAACTATGATTTTTATGGTTTTTTCATATAAAATTTTTCATATAGAAAATAAAATTTGCGCCAATTCTCACTATCATATTCGTAATCAGCACGTCAAAATACGTAAGAATCTAGAGTATAAAAAACATCCAATTTATCCAATTTACTTAAATAAATTTTTCAGCTTTACATTTTTCGAACATTCTATATCCAATAGTTAATCTCGCGTAGAGGGTGAAAAATCTGTTTGACGGCGCATCGAGCGTCGATGTACGAAACGTTACTAAGGGGGTTGAAGCTCGGGGGTGGTGGTCTCGAACGAGATTGACTGGCGAATGGGAAGGAGGGATTGGAATCGTCGGTTTGCGGTATAACCGGCTGACAATGAAATCGAGCCACCGTAAACGAACTAATTGCAGGCACAATAATTATTCTGCGGAGCGGGATCGGTGCGCGAGGGTGGCGGGTTTGTCGTCTGCTCGTGGATTACGAATCGATCATGGTCGTTCTCGTTATTAACCCCCTGGCGGGCAGACGCGTTCACGGATCGACAGATAGCGTCGAAATTGATCGGTTGCACCTGATGCGCTTTTGGAAAATTCTTCTGGGAAATCTTGCAACGCCTCTATTTCGGCGAATTTCAGATTAGAATGATAACGATAGAAAGAGGGTAATTTTTGTTTGAAAAAAGAAACACAGTCGACTTCGATCGGGATATTTAATTTGAAATGGATTTTCAAATAGCGATTATTAATTATTATTTTCTGACGATTTCCAGGGCGGTCACGGATCCGAGGGACGGTAGGAGAGTGGCCTTGAAGAAACTGCCAAACGTCTTTCAGAGCCTGGTGAGCAGCAAACGGGTCTTCAGGGAGCTGAAGATGCTTTGCTTCTTCAAACACGAAAACGTGAGTACACTGATACTTTTTCGTTTTTTTCCTAATTAATTCTCTCTTTGAGCTGGGTACAATTGCTGTTTTACAGGTTCTCTCAGCCTTGGACATCCTTCAGCCACCGCACCTAGACTTCTTCCAAGAAATGTATCCTTTTTAATACCTGTTTTTTCAGAGCTGACATTTGCAAATGCTGCTTCCTTCGCAAAAGGTGCTGTATCTATTTTTATTAAGTTCATTTTCGAGGCTTGTTCGAGTGAATCAGTATACTTTGCGACCATTTCGTATACACGTTAATTCAATCGATATTATTATAGCTTAAATCCTTTATTTCGTAATCGAACTCGTAATTGTAACGATAAAACGCTTTACATTGGACGACTATACTCGGTCGTAGCAACGAAAGGGTTAAAACCGCTCGTACCGTCGTTATAATCAACTACCTTCTCACGCTGGTCGTTTCAAGCACCGGTAGAATTCAAAGAATCCGGTGAAATAAAAAGAGGGAAGAGGGTAGAGCAGGAAGATGCGCAGGGATCGAATCACGCGAAGCGAAAGTTCTTCTTCGCGTTTGGCCTCTTCCTCTTTTCTCTTTTCCGGTTCACGCGGAAGCGAGTTCACGCAAATGCCCGGCTGAAACGACGCGGAAACTTTTAATCGGCTCGTGGCAGCCAGCAATTAAACCGTGAGACGGAGACACGATCGAGAATCGATTCGATCCAAGCGAAACACCCCCGTGTTTGCCTATCTCTTGGATCATGTAAAAAGAAAACTTGCTTCCTCCTTCCACCCGCGTCTTCCTTTTTGTAAACAACCACGGAGGGTTGTCCGTGCTCGTTCTTCCGTTTTTCTCGCAAATAACAGGCGAGATAATAAACGCGCACAAAAGAGAAGAAACGACTGGAGGTTCGTGAATCAGGGGTGGCTAGAAATATTACATGGCCTCACTAAAAGGAATGAGGGAGGGATTGCTGTGGAGGCGCTAACGATTCGAAATTGATTTGTTATATTTATTGTGGTGATGTATTTATTTTGATAATAATGAGAATGGGTACTTTGGGTTCTTTGTTATGATAGAGCTATGGTAGCTTTATGAGAATGACTAGATTAATTATTACTCGATTTTGAACCTCCAAGGATCATTTTTTTGCTATATTATTAGAAAAATAATAGATTGTGCTAGGACTATGAGAATTTTATGAAAATACCTAGGACTATACTTACTTGTCTTTGACTTGTCTATGGATACTATTAAAAAAAAATGGATTATGCTAGGAAACGCTGTTATAGCGTTATGGAAATAGCTAGGACTATAATTACTCGACTTTGAACGTCCAAGGATCACTATTTTGCTATACTATTAGAAAAATAATAGATTGTGCTAGGACTATGACAATTTTATGAAAATAGCTATGACTATACTTACTTGTTTTTGACTTGTCTATGGATACAATTAGAAAAAAATGAATTATGTTAGAACTATGATAGCTTTATGAGAATGGCTAGGACTATGATTACTCGACTTTGAGCCTCCAAGGATCACTTTTTTGCTATACTATTAGAAAAATAATAGATTGTGCTAGGGCTATGACAATTTTATGAAAATAGCTAGGACTATACTTACTTAATTTTGATTTGTCTATGGATACTATTAGAAAATAATGAATTATGTTAGAACTATGATATCAAAATAGCTGGGACTATACTTACTTAATTTTGATTTGTCTATGGATACAATTAAAAAGAAAATGGATTATCCTAGAGCTATGATAGCTTTATGAAAATAGCTAAGACTACGGTTATTTGATTTTGACTTTGTTGCATCTATGAGTACTGTTAGAAGAAAAATATAACAATGACCACTGTAGCTAGTTTTTCAATCCCAATTTCATAAAAGATAGTCTGACGGTCGAGCAGATAAACGGAAACGATCAATCCGAGGGTAGAGATGATGGTTTCTGACGATGGTCGATGGTAGCCATTGGCGGTTAGAAAGGTCCCGTCCATCGAGCCCTTCTCGAAAATGAAATTAAACGCGAAACTTGCGTCCTTGCACGGCCAGCATCGGACACGTGTTCGAGGAGCTAACCTAATAAATCTCGAGGTTTCCGTTCTCGCGTTACCAACACCGGAAGATCAATAACAGCCCTGGCGAAACGATGCTCTGCTCAGCTCAGCTCCGCTCTGCTCCGTCACGTTTCATCAGGGCGGGAAGAAAAAAACCTTGGTTTCAAGGTAAAACCTCGTGGCTCCACCCAGTTTTCCAAATCCCTTGATACTCGGCAAGTTTTTCAACAACCGGCTGATCTCTTCAAGAACAAGCCAGGATTCCAAGTTTTCCAACTTGAAAAGCTAATCTTCTCTTTCTAATATTGCCTATGGACTTTGCAGAGGTTTACAGGTTTTACGGTTTTTCAAACTGTACATGATACGATATATTAAGAACAGAAAATAGTAATTATTTTTTGAAGCCGCGTAATTGAACCAATTATTAACCGAAGACCGAACGAACCGAATTTCCGTTCCTCTCAGTGTTTGCGCGTATCATGAAACCGTCCGAAATTTGAGCGACGGTTCCCAAGCTAAATCCGCTTCGTTATCGATCGCGGCTATCGATGTGTTTCGACCACGTTCGTGACCTCCACACGGTTTCGTAACGATCGCGTAACGAAAACGAGCGGAATGACGCGCGTAACCAAGAACAAATGGTGCTCCACGTAACTGACGAGCAATCTACGTAAACGGCTTGGCTCGAAGCTTACGTAAGTTCCAGAAGAGAGAGGAAGTCTTTCCAGTCTTCTTTCTCAGTATCTTTCCAGACGCGATATCAGAAGAACGTGCCAGAGATTTGAAGAAAATCGGGCCGAGCTAGGGTTCCACTTTCTTACCTGGCCACAGATAGTCTCCTTTAGAAGACCTTTTTCAAATTTTTCCTTGAATATCCGTTCGTTTTTCGCAACAAATTTTCACCCAATTTCAAGAAAATATCATTTATTTATTTTGGAATTTTGGAAGCAAATTGGAATTGGTTACATTTCTTCGGTAGACATTTTGCCAAAGTTCACGAATCAGAACGAATCGGAGAGCACGCATCGTACAGAGTGATCGGATGATCTATCGATCGATCAACAGGAAATCGATAGTCGATCATCCTTAAGCGAACGGGATCGCGCTGGGCAAGCATCTGCAGAGTTAATCTCGACGGAGGCGAGCTCGATAAATCAGTTTCTTCTCTCACCTCTATTCCCTTCGCCTCTTTCATTATTTTCTTTTATAAACACACATTATTACTTACACTTCATCTCCCGTCATTGTTGGTCTTAAACAGACAACTTCTTCCCTACGTCCTTACCTTCCCTTTTTCTTCCTTCCTTTCTTCCTCCCTTTCACTTTGTCTTCTTTTTCTACTTCAACTTCAAGTCCAAACTGATCCCCCGTGACCACGTAAATCATCGCCAGTAATGACTGTTACGAATCAGAACTCTCTTCTTCTTCTACTTCTTCTTCTTCTTCTCTTCGCTCGTTTTTCGTGTTCCCGAGATTATGTCGCGTACACGCACTGCTGCGAATCTGATGAGACGAGACAAGACTCGATGGCTCGATTTACTGCTACCAACTTCGCTGGATCCTTTTATTCAGGACCACCTGTTTCACGCTGGCCGAGTCTGATCGATTCGAGGACAGATTGCATTTTTATTTCGCCATTTCTTTGCTCCTTGTTACTTCGTTCCACTGTCTTCTCGACGCTTTGTCTCCTTTACCTTTTTCTTCTTTTCAATCCACTGACTATACAACCGTCAGGTGTTTCCCATTTCTAGTACTACTGATTAAAATATTCATTTGTTAACACGTTGAACGTCAGGGGGTCACCGGTGACCCGCCCTCCAACTTACACGCCCCTGAATAATTAAAAGAAAATAATAGAAAAACATTATTCTAAGTAATATTGCTATGGTACAAATAAGCGAGAGCTTGAAATTTGAAAATTAATTAATTATTACTATTCTTAGTAATTAGAGCTTTAATACTTCCCACAAAAAACGTCCAATTTCACTGTGACGTTGAACGTGTTAATTGAAAATTAGAAGAACATTAGGATTTAAAAAATCAGAAGAAGAATCTCTCTTCATCACTGGTTAAATCATCATCAAAAGTAAATAAATTCCCCTTAATTTTTGAGAAACTCTCCGAACGATATCGTCGAAAGTTCTGACGCCCATTAACTTCCATTGCTTGCACGGCGATGTTTGCGTCTGGATCGATTCTAATTCCATCTACATGGAAAATTCACCGGCCCGCTCTCTTGTTGGCCAAGAAACTTGCCGTAGCCAAGTTCAACTCCGCTGAAAGCGACTGCCTAATTTCTAATTAAACAGCTCGGCTAAACCACCGTCTCGCAGACGATACGCTAACGAGATTACCGGTTAATACAGTGGTCCAAGCGACTGCGAACCATTCGATCCTTCCTTACAGTGAAAACACAAGGGAAGCTCGTTGAAGTTTCTGTATAATTCTAATTTAAAATAAGAAAGATTCATCGCACGGTTCCTTCGAACCCTCTATCGTTGCTTCGATATAATTACAACCCCAAGAATCCCTTATCTAGGATGCGCATCGATAGACGGAGTCTGCCGGTGACAGTTGGGGTGTTGCGATTCCGTTGCAAGCCACCGTCTAATTCCTAATTAAGGATCTCGCTCGATTAGCTCGCTTTCACCATATGGGGTTGGTGGTCTCGCCGGCGTTCCGGCCAGCCAGACGGTCCTAGACACCGTCGCGTCGTGGCCCACAGCCACCATGAATACAGCATGGCGATGGTGGCGCAGCGAGTCGCTCGATGGCAATCATGGATTATTAATGCGTGCACCGCACGGCTATTGATAGCTCGATACCGTGCCATTACCACCCTCCTCCTTGCCACCCACCCACCCCTTGGCTGCTCGACAGGAACAGACACGCACGTTGTTGCGTTGGTTTGCTCGAGTCCGTTTACACTGTTGCATCACTGATAATATAACTTCCCCTTGAGCGACCTCCTCGATCGATTCATCCAACGATCGGTTTCCTGAATCCATAGAGGGTGAATTTCAGCCGGCCAGGGTGAGCGATGGAACTCCCGGCTGGAATATTCGCTGCGATGCTGAGGG